GCATAAGGAGGAATTTTGCTTACTTTATTTACAGGTAAAAATCTTATACTAAGATTTTATGACTTAAAAAATATAGAATTCATCAGTGCTATCTGTGATCTGAAAGAAGCAAGCAAACCTTCTCAATGAGCTCGATGCAGGCAGCCAGGTCCATCCCGAAGTCGATGAACTCCCACTCAATGCCTTCCTTCTTGTACTCCTCCTGCTCCAGCACGAACATGTGGTGGTTGAAAAACTGTTGCAGTTTCTCATTGGTGAAGTTGATGCACAGCTGCTCCAGGCTGTTGAACTGAATAAATAATACCAATTGACATTCATCTTATCTTAAAAGTGTCTTATGTGAAAGGGGCTTTTCCTAGGTGGTTAGCCTAAGGCTTTCTCTTAGGATGCGACAGTCGTTTCATCCTGCTGCGTCTTTTCGGGCCTCCTATATGGCTTCAGCTGCTAGCAGTGAGGTCTCCATGCTTATTGGATGTATCTCACAAACCAGGAAAAACAGGCTCTGAGGGGTAGTTGTCTGTGCAATAAAACAATTGTTTGGTTCTTATAAAATCTAATTTTGCTGATCCAAGGTTTTCTTATTAATTTCTCTCCCTATGATTAGAACCAGGCTGTAAGGGTTGTTGCTTGGCACAAGCTCTTTGATGATTTGTAAGCACTCCCAGAACCACGGGAGAGCTGCTCTGCTTGAATATTCAAGACACCACACACAACTGGGGATATTCCTACTTAAGGTCAGTTTCACTATATACAAAAATCAAAGTGGTTCCACAACATGGCTGAAGACTGCAAAATTTATGCTGGGTGAAGAAGCAAATCATAAATGACCACATATGGCATTATTCCATTTTTATGAAGTGTCCAGAATAAGCAAATCCCAGCAGAAAGAAGGAAGATTAGCCTGGGGCTGCAGAGGGAGCACAGACAACTGGCAGGTAGAGAACAAATGGGAATGACATGTTAGTAGGGCTGGAATTTCTTGTTGGGGCGCTGAAAATATCCTATGTCAATTGTCATGATTGTTGTCATATCTGTGAATACACAAAACCCTCTGGACTGTGTACTTTGAATAGATGAATTGCATGGTTTGTGAATGATATCTCAATGTGTTATTTAAAAAACCTCAAAGAGGTTGCAAGTTTGCATTCTAATCAGTTTTCTTATTTGAAAAGTATGGATTGCTCTTCCTATTTCTGCATGGGGTTATTCCTCTATCCCATGCAGTTGGGAACCTCTGGAAATACTCTTGTCCCTAAATGCCAGAAAAGCACATCCAGGTTTTATCAGTTCACTCATAGAAAAAGGTGCAGACAACTGAGATACTGTTGCTGGGGAAGAGACTTCCCCAACTTTGTCTGCTATGCTATGTGAGAGGCATTTGTTTTTAGGCAGGTAAACTTGAGTTTCTTTACAATGTCATTTCTATCCTCTGTACCTAGATATTGCAAAGCAAACAGGAATCTTAAAATCTTCTACAAATCTTTGAACTCATCTTCCCCTTTTCACTTTTGCTGACATTGTCAACCTCATTACCTTCTTTATCTTTTACTCAGTGCTGACTTTGTACTTTGGGACTGCGCTTAGAACTTTCTATTCAGAAATCTTTTCATTGGCAGAAAGATCTTAGAAGTCCTGGAGTGCTAGGTTTTGGTTGAATATACCCCATGATCGAATGGGTACCATTTTTCCATTATCCAAATTCATACAGCTAGGTACTGACAGAGGTGGAGTTTGAGAATGAATTTGTCTCATGCCCTTTCATAGTATTGTGGTTCTGTCTCATGTGTCAGTTTAGTTTGCATTGTAGGTATTTTTTTCATATAATTTTTCAACATTGTAGAAGTAAAATTTGTAAATGTTTCTGTTACAACATTTCTGGTAACTCACATCAAAGATCTCAAAGCCTGCAATGTCCAAGACCCCGATGAAGTACTGTCTGGGCTGCTTGGTGTCCAGCTGCTGGTTGATGCGGGTGACCATCCACAGAAACATCTTCTCATAGATGGCTTTGGCCAGAGCACCCACTGCATTGTACACCTTCATGGACAGAGTAATGTTTGTAGGTGTCAATAAAGGCACTAAAAGGAGGTGCATTCGTTGACATTATCACAGGTCTGGGGTGCATGTGATTCATTGAGGTCATGCATTTACCTGCTGTACGGTCTGGCCTTTGGTGACATACTCATTGCCAACCTTGACCCTGGGGTAGCAGAGGGCTTTGAGCAGGTCAGCAGAGTTCAAACTCTGGAGATAGGCTGCCTTGTCCGCAACTGCAGAGACACAAGTCAGATACTCACCTGATCTACTCTAGGCCCCACAATTTTTAGGTGCAGACCAGTAAGTAAGTGAATCACTTTATACAAAGTCTGTGTGGTGGGGGAGGGTGAGAGGGGGTGGAGGGGTAAGTTGGTATTTGTCCATCAGAAGCTCAGGTAAGGGAGAAATGTGTTTGGAATGGCTTATTTGCCTGTATTGTGTCATTCGGTCTGGATGGGGATTTACTTAGTACCTTCAGTGCCGTCTGGCTCTGCCTGCTCCTCACGTTGCTTTTGCTTGAACTTCATGTTCCCGTAATGCATCACAGCCCCTGTGAGCTTATAGATGGACACTCTTTCATCAGAAGTAAAGCCCAGGATGTCAATGGCACTCTGCCAGGAGAGATAAGAGCACCAAAGTTAGGGCAGAAGACCCCTTCCTTATCTAGACAAATTTCAGTTATATCTTCAACTATACCTATAGACAATTATTGCCACTCCCTATGTAATGAGTTAAAAAAAAAAAACACCCTGCATGTGTAACTTACATCAGTGGCCATCAGCTCTTCTTGGTCATCAATGCTGGGCACTGTGATCTCCCCTTGGCTGACAAAGGCATAGTCATATGGGTTGGTGGTGATCAGGAGCATTTCTAGGTACATAGAATTCAGGGTATACATTTCACATTAGAAGATGTTAATAAAATTATTAACTTCTTACTTACAATTTTAAGCTTTTTCTTACCAATCAGATCTGGCTTCTTGTTAGACATGATCTGATAAAAAATATGGTAGCTTCTTTCTGCCTTCAGCTGGAAAGTAACTCTAGACTTCTCCAGTAGATCTGCAATGGAAAGTACACTCTGAATTGTGTTTTTCTGAAGGGGAGTTCGGGATACAACATCTGGATTGATGTTTGGAACTCGGGATCAATAATTTCATTGGTCCATTGGGATTTCAACTGAGTTGTTTCTGTGAGGTAGTAAATATTACATCTTTATAAACATCGTTGCAACTGCTTTACTACCTCTAGAAGGAAACTAAGGCAAGCCTGACCCAAGACATTCCTTTTCAATGTCAAGAAGCTAGACAATGGAATATAATCAAGCCTTTAAGCTCCTTCCTCCTCAGGGCCTCTTCTTACTTTACAATAGAGGGTCTACTAAGAGTAACAATTATTAAGGCTAGGAAGAAATCCTATACACTTAACCCATAGTTTTTTCTTAGAAAAAATTGAGATTGAAATGCTTCCGACAAGCCCAACAGTTATTGGCAGTTGCCACAGAATCATTGGCCCAAGACCAGAGTTGGTGAAGCACACCATGGGGGGTGGGTAAGTCTGGCATGTAGCACAGGTGTTGGCTGAAGGCTGGTGTTTCACCTACTCCAGATCAGCAGGAACTGCCGACTGCACCTCCAAACCATCACTTGTCATTCGCAGATTCTGTTTAGGGGGTTCTTGTTACTCACATGTTTCAATATCAGCAGAAGCCAGTTTCCCTGTGGTACCAAAGTGGATCCTGATGAATTTACCCTTACAAGTTAAAAAAAAAAGATAATATAGAAAATATAGATGCACACACAGAAAGACTGAAATCATAACCTAGACAGGTTTTCTCAATGTGGCATTGAGGCATTGAGAAAATCTTTCTGTGACCAAGAGACTTACAAAGCGGGAGGAGTTGTCATTCCTCACAGTCTTGGCATTGCCAAAGGCCTCCAGTAGGGGGTTGGCGCTGATGATTTGATCTTCCAGGGTCCCCTGCAAAAACAAAGACAGTGCTCACATGGGGGACTCAGGAATTCCTCACCTGGTAGCCCAGACAAATTTTACTTTGGATTTTAATGCTGCCACTCAGACTCACCTGCATTTTGCCCGAAGTAGCTTCCTCCTTCTTCTTGTCCCCAGTAACTGCAATTGTTGCAAAGTACTGGATGACACGCTTGGTGTTCACAGTCTTCCCTGCACCAGATTCTCCGCTGTCAAACAGTGAGGAAGCATATGTGTGTGAGAAATTAAGTTATGTGACCACTCCCACCATTGGCATTCACTACCTAACACCTCATCTTTAAAGGTCTTAATCCTCATCTCCTAGACCTGCTCTTATACCTACATATAGCTCATATTATTTCTGTAGCTGTGCACTGACAAGAAGTAGAGAAATGTATTCATTATGCTTGTAATATATATCTTTTGAGTGTTTAAACTGCACCAGGCTCTCTTCTAGATGTTGAGGCCTGGATTTGAGAGTACCAAAAAGCAGCTAATCAAAAACTACGGTAGATGAAATAAGTTAAAAAAAAAAAAAAACTCTATGAAACAACACCTATATTATTCAGCTGCCTTACGCTAACCATGCAGTTAGCTATTTATTTGGAGGTACAGGTAGGCATTCCTCAAACAGGCCTTAAAAATGAACCACTGATAACATTCCCAAACTGCTCTCCCTTCAGGAGGAGGCAGTCTATGATGCGTACTGCCCTATACAGAGTTCTGGCCATTCCCCGAGTAGGCATTTTATGTCTCCAGTTCCAAGGAAAGTTCTGTGGTGCTTTGAAGACTGGACTAGTAAATAACATCATTTGGGACATTTTTAATTTAAATTATGAAGTTTTCTCATTTTCCCGGTGAGAATAAATTATAAATAAATCTCAGAATATTAATACTTACGTGATTAAGATAGACTGATTCTCCCGATCTAGAAGAAAAACAGTGCAAAATCAGCCTATATATAAAACCACACAAACATCTTTCTATAGGGAAACACAGAGAGCATTGAATAAAAGTATAATTTTAAATGGACTTTTTCAGTACGTTTTTTGTAAAATTGCATATGGTATTATTTTTAAACCTCTAACATTGGGTCAAAGAAACATAAAACGTTTTGTCTTAAATTCCTTAAGTTTCCACAGAAATTATGTCCTCTGGTAAAATAAAGAGCAGGGCTTTCCAAATCCAGATGCATTTACTAACCTCCATCTTTACATTTCAGTGTCATATTGTCTGGTTAATGCATATCACTGAAAAATATACATAAGCTAAGGATTTGGACTGTAGTTAGTAGGTTAAAATCTCAAGTCAAGGTAGAGATTTCGTTTCTAGATGAATCAGTTGGTCTCACAAAGTAAAAAATAAATCTGTTTTAGGGTCACAAACTGTGCCCCTAACACTTTTTAACCTTCTCCAAAGAAGAAGGAGGTGACAGGAGGTGACTCAATAAGAATAAACTTCTTTTGGGGGAAGGGTGGCAATTTCTGTTTAAATGCATTAGCTCCCAAACATCGTCTTCATTCAAAAAAGAGTTAATCTTAAATGGTCTCTAATGACTGAAATGATGATAACACTTGTCTCTAATTTATAATCAATAAGAAATGAAGACACTAAATGATTGAACATGTGTTCAATGAAAATTTTCATTTTTCATTTTATTCAGGCAATATGGTTGAGTTGTTCTTAGACTTACTTTTGTTTCTTAAATATATAAAGTAAGTCATTTATTTCTAAGCATGTAGACTAAACACAGATTCAACTTAGCAGGGGTGGTGCAAACATGGTCTGGTTAGAGCATGGAGGTGGAATCAGGACTGGGTTTTAGTTCCAGTTTTGACTGTGACACTGTGCTTTAGTTACCTCTCTGTATAACCAGAGGGTGGCATTCATTTATTTCTAAAGGTCTCTTTAACATTAACATTTTGTGATGCTCCATGAAAAAATGACTTGCATGAAAAATATCTAAGCCACTCACCGGTCAGCATGAACTGATAGGCGTTGTCGGAGATGGAGAAGATGTGGGGCGGGGCTTCCTGGCGCTTCTTGCCTCTGTAGGCAGCCACCACCTCTGCATTATAAACTGGCAGCCACTTGTAGGGGTTGACAGTGACACAGAACAGGCCTGAATAGGTCTGCACCAAAAAGGGAAAAAAATGTAATTATTTCATGGAGTCCTTAATAATGTACCATGTCTCAAAAATACTAGCTACCTACTTGAGAAGGTCACGAGAAACACTTACGTAGATCATCCAGGCTGCATAGCGCTCTTTGAGGTTGTACAGCACAGCAGGTTCGTGCAGGTGGGTCATCATGGCCATGTCCTCGATCTTGTCATACTTGGGAGGGTTCATGGGATAGACTTGGTCATCTTTCACAGTTACAGTCTGTGAAGTCAAATAACAGAGGCCGTGTCAAAAAAGAAATGTTAGCCCACCTAACACCAAATGCGGCCAGGCCCGTCACCCCCAGGTGTTTACTCACAGCTCCAGCTTCGGTCTTGGCTGTCACCTTCCCCGACTCCCTGCTCTGCACCGTTGCTTTCACAAAGGACTCCTTAGGGTCCACCACAAAGACTGATGACTTGGCATCAAAGGGCTTGTTCTGGGCCTCAATTCGCTCCTTTTCAGATTTTCGGAGGTAAGGAGCAGCCTCCCCAAAAACAGCCATCTCAGCGTCGGAACTCATGGCTGCTGGCTATTGATGGCAGCCAGTCAAAGACCCTGCCTAACAGAGGGAGAAATGATATTAGGGGACATCAGAAATTGGACCGCCACATTTGAAAAACAAAATGTTCTTCATTTACTGACAGGCTGAACACTTAGCATTGCACTGGGTATGACCACCTCCCTGGCTGGAGGTGAAATGTCAGTCTCCGCTTTCTGTGCCAGTGCTGACAGAAACTTAATCATGCCTTTGGAAAGAGATTACTGTTTCTGGCTCATCTACTGTATAATGGTGTGGCTGCTTTCTCTACTTCATTTGTTATGTATAGTTATCTTTGTAAACTGCCCACCATCAGTTTATGGAGAGCAAAAAGCTGAGATGACGGCAGCTTGACCTCCATCCCTTTCACTTGGGATAATCATCTTCCAATTCAGTTGTAAGCATCTTGCAGGTAGACAGTACTTTTCCTGCTGTGGCATCCTTGGGACAATGCATAGGGGGAAGGGCTCAGAACTGGCTTTGTAATGTAAAAAGCAATCAAGATATGTTGCTAAAATTCTAGAAACTGCTTCCTAGGTGGTGAAAATCTTTTCGGTAGAGATGACGTTTACAAAGACTAATAAAGGAAAGGGAAATAGGAAGAATTTTACATTCTATGTTACAAAACATTCTATTATAAATCAGTTTCTCTTGTTATAATTTTGACCCACTTGGCTTGTTCATCTAACAGCTATTTCTCAAAAACTAAGATAAAGTGTAATTGCCTGTGTTTCTTGCTTGATGACTATTATTTTCATTAAAATTTCGATTCTCTCTCCAGGATCTATTTCTTAGTGCTTTAATTTATATTCATTTATCCTACCAGTAATGGTCACATGTATATTATGTACTGGTAACAATATCTTTTCCAGGAATTCTCACCGCATTGGGAGAAATTTTCCACATTTTCCCATTCAAATTATAGAGATTCTGATAACACAACTAAAGTGCTTTGCTTTGTTAAAAATGTTCACAATCATTTCTCAAATCATGCTTTCTTAAATTTCTATTTTACATATTATATATATACTTATATATTGTGAAACCATATATAGATTTAAACTACTTTTCCAAGGCAAATATTCATATTTATCCATATAGGCAAAATCTCAAGATTTTTTATATTTATAGTGCTGAGTAAAAGCTATAGTATAGGAGATTTATATTTTCTCTAAGTGGATAATAACACTCTGAGATGTTGTATTGGATGTTGTAATTCAATAATTTAAAAGACATATTGCAATGCCTGAAATAGGAAAAAGATGTGTATAAAACTCCTAAAGACTCTGAGAAAGCATTTTCATATGTTACAAAGGATATAAATTAATGAGAACCAGTTTCTAAATTTCCCTTCAGAATTTTTCAAAGGAAGTATGATCAGCCATGAAATTGAAATGCTTTTATTTTACAACCCTGAAACATTCTCCAAACCCCTGCAGAAGATTCCTTGTACCATGTGAGGAATGAGGAAAAAACCAGGATCTTACCTTAGAGATGTAACCTTCAAGTGGGTCAGACTGTAAGGAAAAGAGCAAATGTCTTCTGATTAAATGTAATGATACCCAATTGCATTTTTCTTTACTGAGAAGTAGAAAAGGACTGGAATACTAAAACATCTCATTACAGTTTCTACAGCATTGCGTTGGTGCTTCCCTGGCAGTCCTGCCAGGGACAGTGGGAGCCAGGATGTGTGGCATGCCTGTGGGCAGCCAGACATCCCTTACTGTTCTCAGCCCGAGCCTGTCCTCACACACACTTACCTTGAAGCTTTATGAGGAAAGACAAGTCATACTCATTCCAAGGGTACTTTTATAGGATCAAATATGGAAAACACGTAACCTCCTCCTCTTTCTTAAAGCATATTTGGCAAAACATGTTTTTGGCAATGAATGTCTCCAAGCATAATTCCCCTCATATTAAAGATGTTTGGATATAATTAGAAATATTTCCTCTCACATTGGGTGAAGTATATGAATCAATCTCCTATAAATAATTTGAGTTGTAGGCAACCTGAAAGTGATCTGCTTTTGGAATAATGTAAGGTGTTGCTTCAAAGGCAGCTCTGTTTGGAATCCCTGGACTTTGTTGCCTGCTGTTCTTCTGTTTCACTGAGTTGCCCATGTTGAAGTCTCCGGACAATCGCAGATATTATACCAGGGAGGAAAGTGCCTCCTTTTTACCAGTGAGTTATAAAAGATTGTTTAGTTCTTCCCAGAAAAGTCATGTTTGTTTTTTGTTTTTGTTTTTGTTTGCAACTTAATGTGCCTTTTCAAGAACACTTGGAAATTTAATTTTAAAACTTGCTTTATGAAAAGCAGCCAAAGATAGACAGCTTCTTTTGTTTCCTTTACTCAGTTGCCTCTGATTCATTGTCAAATCATTCCACTCCCACTTCAAACTTGCTCCAAAATATTATTCCCTCACTGAGCTGAGATGTCTTGCTTCTCTCATTAAAAAAAGAAAGAAAGAAAGAAGAAAGAAAAATGCAAGTTGCTTTTGAGATCCTATTTTTTCCTCCATGGAACTCAACTTAGGGGAATGTTACAATGCCCAAAGGAAAATGAGGCATTTCTTTGTCCAAATATGCAACATCTCTGACTTCTCTTCCATCAACTACCCATGGTCTACAGTTTACATTTTCTTGTTGTCAAAACAAGAAGAATTTAAATTTAAATTTTTTTAATTAATATTTAAAATTTTTAAATTAATATTTGTTTTATTGTCTCCATCACCTTACATCTCTCAGTATTGTTTGTCTGGGACTGAGGCCAAATTGACAAATGTTTTACAATCATTCCAGTATTATTGTATTTATATTTTATTTGATATAATGGCAATAGGTTGCCTTATGAAAATAACTATCTGGAGATCCTGGTTGCAATAGTTTATTCCTACTAAGGGACTATCTAATCCATATTCCTCATTTTACTAAGATAGCAACTGAGATCCAGAAACTAGAAAAAAGTTCCCACAATTTATACAGTAGTCTGGACACTGGTCACCTGATTTACAGGGCAGTGTGCTTTCTGGTAACACTCCTACCTGGAGTAGAAGATTAAAACCATGAGAAAGGTCTTGCAGGAGAAGACAAGCAGCCAACAGAGGTTTTCCTTCCCAATTCAACTTTGTTACCATACATATATCATTTTACTCTCTTACATGTCAGAATCCTTTAGTGCCATCTGAAAAATGTGGGCAGCGATTCTTAGAAAGGGAAAAAAATCGTAATGCTCTCAAAAGGATTTCATGGGAATTTTAAGACAGCCTTTGACCTGCTCAGCCTAATTTTTCAAAAGCTGTAAGGCGTTGTTAGTCACTGTGGCCAAGCTGTGGACGTGTAAACATTTGCAGGTGATGTGAGAACAGAGTGAATGAGGCACCCCTATGATGAAAAGGGTGATTCCATAACCTTCTGAAGGCCAGTGAAACTGTGAATTCTAATTACCTGCTAAGCTATTTCCACACATTTTATTTATCCCAGTGTAGTCTTTCTTTCTATTTAGATGAATAGTTACAATTTTTTTTTCACTTTCATGTTGTCCAGAAAGTTTTTATTTTGGCTATACATCTCAAATAAAATGTGGACCCCAAACTAGATGAGTTAAATGTGTATTCAACATACATAAAAATGAATATGAGTTAGTGCAAAATGCATACATTGTAGCAGTCTGAATTATTCAGAGAAGTTGCATATTGATACTTTTATCTCTTATTTAGACTCTTTAAATGATTACATAGGAGACCAAAAATCTGGAAATATAGGCTATTGATAGTACATTATAATATACAGAATAGTAATCTCTTTGTCTCTAGATTTTCAGCTACCCTATAACTTTCAGAGCGACAGGGGTCACTTCTCACACTTTTGTGTCTTACCCATTATCCAATATATCTATTGTGAAAATATAGTGTATTGATATCAATAATGAAAAATCTTCATATGCCATTACACTTTGGATTTGTATTCTTGAGATCAGTTAATAAGCAAAGAGAATGAATGACATAGTTTAGTGGGAATTCCCTATGTGAGATATAACTCATGCCATCTTTTGCACAGACCTGGAAAATTAAGTTCATGTTAAGGGAAGCAGGAGTTTTCTAAGATGCTACTATTTCTTGATGGCTATTAGGGAAAGGTTAGAAAGGAATAAAAGTAACACCTGACCAGAACAGGCATCATCAATGATACCGTCTTGAAGTAGTACTCTAGGCTTAAATGAAAGCAAATGCGCATCAATTCCTCCGTGTTAGGCTGAATGTGATTATTTGAAAGCCTTGTGATAATTCAAGCTTTGACATTATTTCATGAGACAAAAGCAAAGACCAGTCTAAGGATATAGTTCGCAAAGTACCCTCTGCTCTTTATTTCCTTTGCAATAGGGTAGAATAGATGATAATTACAGAGAGAAATAACCAAAGCCTTCACATTTTGTGCTCTCTTCAGTCATTCCCTAGCTTCAGGATGGGATTATTCTTCACTTATGATTTTCGTGTGAACCTCCCGGCTCTTCACCCGCAGCTTGTTGACCTGGGACTCGGCAATGTCAGCCCGCTCCTCGGCCTCCTCCAGCTCGTGCTGGATCTTGCGGAATTTGGAGAGATTTGTGTTGGACTGTTCCTCCTGAGAATAAAAATAGAACTTTAAGGAACTGGTACTATGTTCTTTCTAGATTCTGTATGTCTAGGGCTAAAAAGGACTTTGCACTGTGGAGTGGCATTAATGATCAGATTACTATTTTTGCAAACAAAACATGTTAAAAGATAAGTACAACAAATACAGCAAGAAAAAGACAATAAGAGCAGAAGTGTCATTGCTTTGGTGAAAGCAATGCCTGTTGGTGTTTGTTTTAAGATCATGACTGTTCGCCTAAGTTATATATTATCATAATAATTATCATAGTAAAGGTAAAGTTCCTAACTTTCTTAAAATTGAAATAACTTGAATTTTTTATTTGGCACATGATCACATTATTTGACACATTTCAAAACAATCACTTTTCCATCCTGCTTTAAATATAATGACACTATTGAAAAATCCCCTATTGTTTAGTGATTCCTGTGTAGGAATGAAGACTATTACGTCAGTGATGGGCAATTCCCTTCATGAAGTAAGCGCTCCCATGACTCCGTAATTTATTTTGGTACAACTAAAGTCAAGAGTAAAACTACCCTTAGTTCCCCGCCCCCCCCCTTCTTTCTTGGACAACTTTTAGTATTAGGATTATGCCAACTTCTTAACATGATTTGGAATGCTTTCTATCATTTCTTATGCACTGGAATGGCTCACAGAGCTCACGGATTATCTGTCCCTTGAAATTTTGAAAGATCTCCCTGGACCGGAGTCATTTTCACAATTAATTCTGAAATAACTTATTAAACTTACTTAGTAATTTATACTTTCCTATAAAATCATCTGTTTCTTCAAGATTCCAGTTTTATTGATATATCTGTAATTCACATTTAAAAAGAATCCTCTACATTATGGTTTATACTATTTTGTATTCCTAATGGTGTTTGTATTTTCCTTGATTAAACAAGTTATAAGTATACATATTATTGTATAGGTCTTTATAAAGAAGGTATAAAATTATACTTATAGCTTGTTTAAGTAGTGATAAGTATACCTATTTTATAGATATTATACCTTAAGTAGTGATAAGTATACCTATTTTATAGATATTATAAAATTATACTTTTAACTTGTTTAACCAAGGAAAATATAAACTCACACCATTAGGAATACAAGAGGGTAAAACCAAAGTGTAGAGGATTATTTTTTAAATATAAATGAAATATATATTTATAGGTATATAAATATAAATTTATAGATATCATAAAATAGGAGTTCAGATATTTTAAAATTAGAATTATCACATATTTTAAAATGAGAAAACAGTATATTCTAATCATCATTTCTAACATTATTTTTGGTTCTTAATGAAGCATATAAAGCAGTCAGTGGTCCTATAAGAACAGCATTAACTATATTCTATAGGTTAGTATGTGTAAGATCTTTCTTGAAAATTTTGGTAAAAAATATTTAGTAATTTTATTTTTAATTTAATACCAAAAAAAAAAAAAAACAAAATACTTAGGACACTTTTTAAACATTTACACCCGTGGGAAGTTTTATTTATATTTCTGATTCACTTTATAATTTTATCAGTGACTAAAGAATGTGGATTTTATATCTCTGCTTCTCAATTTTTGAGATTTCTGTGTGATTGAAAGCTTACTTTAAAGTAAAGTTGTTAGTATTACCTTTACTAGCTATCAGTACAAAAATGTATAACTGTTTTTAAGAAGCACAAGGTAACATATACAACAAACTTCTTGTTTACTACAAGAAGTTGTAAATCTAATTATTTATTAGCCATTCATAAGGGCTTCTCTTTTCCTTTCTATTTTAACAATACTTACGGCCTCCTCAGCTTGTCTCTTGTAAGATTTCACCTTTGCTTGAAGTTTATCTACCAAGTCCTGGAGCCTGAGAATATTTTTCCGATCTTC